AAAGTTTTGCGAACGGAGCTGTTCGTGACCCGAATTGGTTGTGAACAGAAGCGTTCATGAACCGAGGTACCACTGTATGTGGTTTCTGTTAATTCTGTTAAAGGTTTCTTTGCTACCTTTGCAAAGGTAGTCCTTTATTCTGATGTAAACAAGCTATCTGCCCCTACTCCTGCAGACTTTTTATTGTAAGACTACAAGAGTGTGGCTACAAACATCTCGAATAATAAACGGCAGCAAAGAGTTTTCTGTATCTAGTTGCCAAACTTTGGTAGCCAAAATACGGCACCTCTTATTTTTTAACTTACCAAACCCCCTTCAGTTTTAATAAGTTTAAAAATATTGTGTATAAGACTGGATAAAGTGTATGTTTGTAACACAGGTTAATGTATCTTTTTAACTCCAGGCATGCCCATTTTTCTCACTAACATGCTTTCATAATATCCGCACGTGCTTTTCCAGGGGAAAAAAGTTCTTTTGTCCACATGCTTTATGCAGGTAATAGGCTTAGGTTTTTAAGACTGCGATCCTGTGTACAATCCAATTCAACTGACTTACCTTTCCAGAAGCATATACAGCAGAGATTCGTGAATTTGAGTGGGCACAGCAGTGGCAGGAACAAACCAACTAACAGTATCCCTGTGTCTCAAAACAGAATTTCCCTGCCTGCTGAAGTTTAATAGCATAGACTTTTGAGGCTGTTAAGTCTATGCTAAATTAGTTTGCCCTAATTAAGCATTAAAAAAATAATACTGTGGTTTTAAAAATACACAAGGGGGAGCTCCACACCTTATTTTAGTTTTGAACTAAGCATGGTTTTTCATGTTACTATCTGCCCAAATGTACAGTCGCTAAACCTGCAATGAGCACTAGTGGAGACACCAACATGATATTTCTTAGACAAGATTTGTGCTGAAACATTCCTTTTGAGGTTGCATTGTGGCAGACAATTAACTATGCATAATTAACAGGAGATTGTTTAACAGCCGCAATATGTTGGACTTGATCTGGTTTATTAATTAGATTTCAGTGCCTTAATTCCCAACAGTGCACGCTCCAGGCACATTCCTTTTTTCCATGTAAACAGATGCTTAAAGTTCGTTAGCATTACAAGCAGTGATGGTACCCATACCAAGAGTGGCATTTGTGCAGTGGCTGCCTTTTTGCTTTGGCCAAATTCTCTGGCTAGCTCATAACCCATGAAAAGATGGGCTATTTTAACAGAGGGTAACAACAAATGAAGAAATCCTGAAATGAAGAAAAACTCCTAAGGAAGATTCTGGGCCTCCCTTGGGACATCCCTGCCATCTGCTTTGGGATGCAAGTGTGGTTATCCTTAATTATACTAAAATTCACTTTGCCCTGCCAAGGTACTGTAAGAAACTAGAAAGCATCCAAGGGCTCCTCTTAGTTAAACTCTGTTGTTTGCATTATATGGGTGGAAATCAATGGACCAAGCTCCTGTCTCCAACTGCGATCCCTTTATGGGAACTTAGTTCTGGGAACAGTGAAAAAAATCAGATAAACTCTCAAATGAGATGCCTGTAGAGATGCTGCTATGGTGCCATTTTCAAAGTTGCATCTCGATACCACCATTATAATAAATAGAGAAGCCTCTCCCAATATCTGGTCAACATCCATCACAAGCCATCCTGCTATTAAAGAGAGCCTGGGTCCTGGGAGATCAGAAAACCTGATCAAATGGTTAGTGAATTAATCCAGAAATGAAACAGATATTTTAAGCAATTGACAAAAATGAACCAATTTCTACTTTCTGAGGCATATATTCTAGTGGCAAAAATGTGCGGACAAAGAAGCCATTTTTTGGTGGTTTAAATATTGATAATTGTTTTCATCCTGAGATATAATGCTGGTATGACAACTAATATAGGGAGTTTGAATAAAAGGCATATAAAACCAAAGAGGTACAGTATACACACAAAGAAAATACCAATACACTTTTGAGAACAAAATCGCTTTTAATAACATTTAAGGCTAGGTTTGGGTTCTCTTTAATACTCCCAACATTTTTTTTAAAAAAAATCATGCTTGTTATCTAATTATTAGGCTGATTTTCTTTAATTCAGCCAGTAATGAGAATCTGGTTGTGGTATCTTACCAGAAGAGCTTTGAATTACAGCAAGTACAGTCACAGAAATACAGAGGAGCTGCTCTCTGACAAGCAGGATTCGGAGCTGTGCATGCAATTACGTAGGCACAGCGGCTACAAGGGAGAGAGGAGGATGGAGCAGGAACATGGAAACAGGCTCCCATGTCTCCAAAGACCAGCTCCACCTCCAAGAAGTACACAAATTTTGCAAGAAGCACACCAGGGAAG